TGGATGGTTTTGCCTTTGTGTGTGGCTGTATGGGACATGCTGCACATTTGATTACCGCTTCTGGGCATTTGCATGGCCTTTAATGCGATTTCGGCCCGACCTCGTTTGTCAATGGCATTTGCTGATTGTTGCCATTGATGCAACGGTGGCCACATCATTTGCCGATTCCCATTTTGCAGTGCAAAACAATTTTATTATTTACTTTTCATTTGCATTTCGCAATTGCCTATGCAGCTGTGCCCCCTTTGTCCCTCTGCATCACCTGATCACCTGCATCACCTGATTATGTTATTTAATTTGTGTGCCTGCTGCATGAAGTTTTGAACATAATTTATTAATTAAAGAGCGCACAGCAACTGATAAAAATGCAACTATGATTGTAATTCTGATATTCCGTTCTCAGTTATGATTGAAGTTACGATATCTGCACAAACAAAAATATATGGAGGCTATTCGAAATTCACATAAATTATTGCCAAATTGAGCGTTACGAATTTCTAGACAAGCGAATTGTCATGGAACCCCTTATAAAAAGGCAAAGCATAAAAGTGCTCTTAAAAGAACCGAAAGAAGAAAAAAAAAACGAAGAGGAAAGATTTGAGCATGCAAAATGTTACGCTCTGTTTAATATTATTTGCTTTTTGTGCACGGATTTTCCAACCAAAAAGAATTTAAAGTCGATTGACAAATGCGGACGAAAAAATCCCCTCAATTATACGAGAGTTGTTGCTTGAAAATTGGGATCATTCGGCAAAGTTTTAATGCCAAAAGAAATGTTATTGGTTTTTATTAACAATTAATTTATTAACTTATGAGCTTAATATTTATACTTCACAAAATGTTCATACTATCCAAAAAAAAAGAACGGACCTTAAATTTTGTTTGTAAAACAACTCGAAATATTCTCATTAAATTTATTTCTGTTTAATTTCCTTTAACTTTACCCCATGATGACCTTTGAAAACTTCTTTTTTAATGGAACCTCTACAACACAAATATAAATTTGTTCCAAAATAAACTTTATTTTTAGCGTATCTTGAGGTGCGATCAATACCAGAACCCTCAAAAATTCGAAAATCAAACATATTTGTGCGTTAACAGGCAAAAAAAAAAGAAAAGAAGGAACAAAGCTGAGTTAAATATTCAGTCAACATGATTGTGCAGTTTTCAACACGCATATTTTTTATATCAAAAAAAAAAAGGTAAATACATAAATATTTTGCACTCAGCAACAAAATAAACGAAAGCTATTGAAATGACTAAGTGTTTGTTGGAAGTGTTAATAAATTGGCAGCACGCTCGACATTGGCAACCATGAATTGAACTTTTTTCTTATGTGCCGCAACATCATAATGTACTGGGCGGCAAACAGTTAAGGACGCCGGGGACCGCGTAATTTAAATTTATTTAACAACCAACTTGTTAAAATCGTAAATACAGAAAGAAAAAAAAACGAACTGAATCTGCAGCAGCAGCGCTTGAACAACAACATTAAGTAGCTCATTAAATTTTCTTTAAAAAAGGAAAAAAAAAATAACAAGGAGAAGCACAAACCCACTGACTTCTGGTTTTATTTTATAAGTAGGAAATATTATGGTGGCAAAACTGCGCTAAAAGAAGCGACAGCCAACAGAAACGGGCGAGCTGTAAAACCGCTCGGCAAGTGTATTTTTATTGCGTATAAAATGCATTTTGCAATGCCACAAAACTGGTGCGTTGTGTGCCCGGAGCGAAAGTTACGACCAAAGGACCAGGACGCGGACACACACACACACACACACAGAGAGAGAAGAGTTGTAGTTCAGAAAATTGGGCACAAAGAAAGGAAACATGAATGCTCCACATGTGAGCGCTTGACTAGGACTCACCCCTTGGTTAGGTCAAATATATAAATGAACGCCTTTTTTCTTCCTTTTCGGTCGTCAATTTAGAATAAATATATATAAAGATTATTTCATATAGATATATTGTAGACTATTTATAAAAAAAACTTTAGATGAACATTTTATTGAATACATATAAAATAAGTAGTATATATATATTTATTCAAACAAATCAATATTTAAGTCTATATATATTTATTCAATCCAATCTTTATCTGAAGTTACTACTGACAAGGAAAAAAAAAGAAGACATTTATATATATTTTTTCTTTCAAGTTTTTTCATTAGTATACATATATTGTTTCGTATGTTTACTCTGAATAATAAGTATATGTATTATATATATATATATATCATATTCTTCATATATATGGAGCATACAAGAACCCACATATCAAATTTTACCACCTGTAGCTCTAGTTACTCAGATCGATAGATCCACCTTATGAAGGCAGCATGACATTGCTAGATGAGCTTTCTCCTAAAATATGCCCAACTTACTTCAGACTCGCTTCATAACATACAGCCGCGCATAACTAAAATACCCATTGAAAGAATTTGTATAGCCACAGGTCATAATAAAAGCAGATGATAAAAATTATGCTATAAAAGAGAAAAGCAAGGAAAATGCCAAACACTGGCTGGCCATGATTGCACGGGTATGCTGTTTGTTAAATATGTAACACATACTTACAGCACGCGTTTATTTCATCTATAGCACATTTATGGGAAGTGCGCGATGCCGGAGCACGATACGAAATGGAGTCGAAATATGTTTGTCAGTGTGCTGGAGATTTGGCGAGTAATTGAAGCGTAGCGCAAATTGAAATATGTATAATGCAAGTTAATTATGTTGTCAAATTAAAAATATAAATTAGATTGTTCGACTAGATTATAAAAAAACTGCACATTCCGCCCAAGCGAATGCATTTAGCTCTAGTGTAAATCCTGTGTGCCAACAGTGCGTATGAGCAATGTTTTTTTAATTAACCTATTGCTGGCGTTCTTTGCCGCTGCATCGAGTTAAATGAACTCCAAAAGCAGCACACACACGAGCAGCTCCAATGATTAGCAAACTGTTTCAGGGCAAATACTTAAATAATCGGGTCGAATTATTGCTGAAGAGCTGTTGCAACGCATTTCAAGCGCAATTAATAACAATTTAGCTGCTGTGCCGCTGGCCACATATGCTGCGATTAACGCTCAAACAAAATATAATAAAAACGAACCACTAGGCAAACATTTTGAATATTTTTGAAAGTAGCCCAAGCTCATGCAAGCCCACTCACGCCGGAAATTGGCGCACACCTTGCAGCCATGCACCACACACCATCATTTTTTTTGTTGTTCCGCCTCTCCACCCACACTTTTTCATAAGCTTCATAAGACCGGGAAATGACCAGGCGAGCCGTTGCCCAGCGGCTGAATCTCTGGCCATTCAGGTGTAGGGCACAGTGCAAAAAAAACCATATACATATATATGTATATACACGGAAGCTCAGCATGCGGAAATTATAATTTATTGCACAAAGTTGCGGATGCCGGGCGCGGCGCGGCTACTGTGATTTTTCCCCACGCCACTTGTCCGCTTTGGCAAAAGCCCACACAGCGGCTCTTCAAATTTAGCTGTACTTAGTATTAAACTTTAATAAAAAGTACTTGGCATTTTGAGCGCGTGAAAACCGCAAATATTTAGCATATTCGCAGCTGACCTCCGAAGTGTTCACCTGCCTAAGGAAACGCATTACCTGGCTTAAATATTCATGGTTTGTTGTGAAAATGAGTTCAGGCATGCAAAGTGTTTTCAATAATTTTCCATCCCCTCTCTCTCTCTCTTGTTTTTCTACAGCCCAGAGGGTCAAATAACTTGGCACGAAATGTGTTGAAATGTATTGAGGGCGGTTCCTTAGAACTTCGTGGGATTTATTTGCCTTTGTTTCTCACCTTTACAATTTATGCCATTTATTAAAGATGCTTTTGTTTAACTGATAGTTCGAAATCAATCCAATTACTTTTGTATATTGCAGTCATAAAAACAATTTTAAAGACGACTTTAAAATGAATGGCAAGGGTATTAGTCAGTAAGTTAATATAAGTATATTTATGTGAAAACGTCTTGCAAATAAATCTATATTTATAGTGAAAATTCCAGCCAAAATAAAATGAAAGTTTTTGAAAATACTAAGAAATTGATTTCTGCTAGGGAAATGCACAATATTATCCCTTTGTACTTAAATATTTGTAAATAAATATTAATTTCCACGCCTGTAACAAAGCAATTAAATGCAAATTTCAACCAAAGTAATTATTTGGAGCAGGTAAATGATAGCAGCCAATCAATATATAAAAAACAAAATAGCTATAAATTTTCATGAGTGAGAGCATTTTGTTAAATACATGCACACACACGCATACATATGTAGTCTACATGTGTCTAACAAGGTCGTTTGCAGGCTTTTGCCAAAAATATAAAAACCAGTTTTAAAATATTATTTGACAAATGGCGTACTTCCTGTTAACCGACAGGCTACACACGCATCTGCCTGTTAAATCTGACAGAAAATAAAACACTTTAAAAAGACTATAAAAAAAAAAACGGTGAATAAATATTTTCACAGCGATAAAGCGCAATTTATTTTATGCCTTGTTTGAATTTATTCATGATTGACTTAACAATTGAAAACAATAGAAGCTACTCAAATATATAATCATATATAAAGCAAATATTTAACTAGTGTAATTTGATTTATTTTAAAGAACTTTAGAAGTGCGCAAATTAATTGCATGCGAATTAATTAATGGCCAAGAATAATAGATATGTATATTAAATAAATGATTATATTATAATTAGAAGAATTATTATAATTAAAAGTGAATGCCCCTACTCATAGCTAGGCATGGTCAGTCAGGAGAGAAGAGGGGACCATTAACTCCTTAGAGCAACGCCTAATGAATCCAAGTACATCTTTGGGATTTGAAAGATATATATGAGATAATTATTTAGAGGCAAAGCAACCAATTTAGATCACATTAAATGTATAAAATACAATCAGAACTTAGCCGTAGGCTGCAAGTCCATCCATTAAAAGTTTAAGACTAAAAATACTACGAAAATCCTCACGTTTTCCTTGACATTTAATTGCAAATATACTTATGTTAGTAAATTGATCTGTGATATCTGTAACTAACACATTTACGCCTGCAATTAAATTTCGTTAATTTTCTTCTACTAAATTGTCGTTAAATCGGTTGTCATTAAATAATGTAAACGTTTTTTCTGCGCCGGCGTCAGTTGAAAAAACTTGGTTATAAATATGTTCAGCTCAGCTTTTGTGTGCAGCGGTGGCCAAAGCGTCTTGTACGATAAAAGTCTTGCAAAAATAAAGGAAACAACATAAATACACTGCTAGAAAAAAAACACAGGCCATGTGCTAACTACCTTCTGGTGAAGAACTGATCGCGCGCGCTGCGCTTTGAGGCTACAAAGTTTTCCATTTCACGACGAATGTGCGCATTATACTTCTCCCTAGCCTCCATATAGAGCATTTCACACTCCAGATTACTGCCAGAGCATATTCAAAACTGTATGATTATGTATCTGTAAATGGGTTGGCCATTTGGCCACTTACTAGGCAACATTCTTGATCGTGTAGCTGGGATGGCGGCTAATGTCGAACTGATCGTTAAACACCTTATCGTGGAGCACCCATGACTCTTGGTCCCACTCGATACTTTTTCTGTAACTGGCGCGTTTGGTGGTCTGTCCAGACCGGTGAATGATGTCGTTATGTTTTCTTTCCAGCTTAGCAGTTTTTTCAAAATCCAAAGCCTTTGGGTAAACATCTTGTTGATGCAGCGGCACCTTTTTGCCCCGCAACGCATCGGAAACTTTGGATTTTAAAATGACGGGTCTCTCAAGATCTTGTACAGTTTTAGCATGATATGCGACATTCACTCTAGAATGCAAATTAGCGTAATTAACCATTGATAAGCTTTCATAGCCCGGTCGCAGATTATCGTGATATATAACAGGATTACTCGCACGTAAATTAGAAAGTGGATCTTTCAACTCCTTGAAGGCTGCCTTGCTACTTTTATATTGCAACATATTTGAACAGATTGTAAATCTCACAATATTGAATTTTCCTATAGCGTTTATTGTGTGAATTTATATAAATAATTTTTCAAACTATCAACCTGACAGCATGTTTACTATGATTTTTAGCTAAGGTTTCGAAAATAGTCAGATATTCTAATAAATATATTTATTTACCAGGCACCGTCAAATGCTTTTTCACTTGTCGGGCTGTTATATTTTTAACATTTTAAACAAGCCGCGAATAAAATATAATTAAGCAATTATCTTATTATCATTTAACCATTTAAATATCTTTGACATTAATTTATGGCCGATTATCGTCTGATTGCTTTTATTGACATATGTATTGAAATTTCTCAATTTGTTATTAGCCTCATCGAAAATTTAAGCACACACCTGGTTAAAGGAGAAGAATGAAAATAGATAACATAAAAAAATCCAGCTTCAATTAATGTGAGTTATGCGTTTGCAACAAAGGCGAAAATCAAATAAAAACCATTGCAGACACATCATGAATTATATATGTGGTTAATCTATATTATACAGTTGTGTATATCCATATATATGTATATATTTTTTTTTTCATTTTCATTTGATTTTCGTAAGAGCATACGGCAAAATCCCGCACACACAAGATGTAACGCAATTATGAGCCATCAGCAGGCGTCACACACAAAAGCAGCTCCTGGCAAACGACTCGCTGGCAGGACATGAGGCAAATGCGTGTGCGTGTGTGTGTGTGTGCGTGTGTGTGTTTGCTGCAAAAACATTGCCACAAATGTTGTGCCTATTAAGGACCCATTTAACAACGCCAACGCAGCACGTGAACCAGTCAAAGCAAACGACCACATTATTATTACAATTTTCCCATGAGGGGGGTAGATCCTACAGAGAGAGAGGGAGCGAGAGAGAGAGAGAGAGAGAGGGGGGGGGGCACATTAATGAAGTGCTATATGTCTGTTCAATGGCAATGGCAACATTTGCTCTTTGCCCCAGCGGCCGGCAGACCTTGAACCTTTCAATTGAACTCTAATTTCAGCTAATGAATTACACGCATTAGTTCAACGAGCCAACCAGCTTGAAGATATATTATTGGCTGAGAGTGTGCCTAAGTGGCCAGCCAGGCTAATGACAATGCAATGAACTATTTATGACCAAAGGCATTGGAATTGATTTCTGTTTGGGCAAACATAGGCAAACGTTAACCAACGCAATCAAAAACAAAGCTTAAATTAGGTGTTAAATATAAACAGGGCAGATAGAACTTGTGTTTAAGAATAACCAAACCCTAAAGTCAGTGATCTCTTCCATGAAGAAGCTTCTTCTAAATATGTATTTGAACAGATTTTCAATTATGATTATTTTTGCCAGGCAAATAAATGCTGCCTGCTAAATGTTAACAACATTCTTATTTCTCACAAACAGTGCACATAGTAGATTAGAGAAAACGCTGCCTTGTTGTTTTCAACACTAAGCAGTGTTGAACAATTCGAATATTTAACAGCCTGTCAAAAGCATATCAATTTGAGAGCATACTAATGTGCTTGTATAGCAACCAAGATTTAGTGTTGTATAACACAGAAAAATCGATCTAATTCCAAATAAATGCCGACAAATATTTAACAAACTGACAAACATTCAATTCAGCGGAAATAAAATGGTTCAATTATTTCTTGGAATCTTCATAAATAATTTAAACAATATATAGATTAAAACAAAATTGTTTTTCATATAAACTAAAGCCCGGAACTAGAGCCAGCTAAATAAAGACTAATAGACTTTAAAGCTCTTGTTAATTTAATTTATGGCCTAATCAGTTAGCCAAACACGCTAACGAACCACAATACGCCAAATTTTGATTGCCAAAAGTTGTGGCACAACCGTGGCCAACAAATCCCAAATGTCAATCTATTGTGATGCAACAATAGCCAAAAAATATGTGACATAATCAACAAATCCATTTTATTACACGAATTAGCCGAGCAATAATTATAGATTCCGGCACGTAGCAAGTATTAAGTGCAGTCAAACCAATCCAACGCAAATGCCACCAAATGTGGCTAATTTGCCAAGCCAAAACAATGGCCAAAACATAAATTGACCGACATTTGTATTTGAGCCTTAATTTTGCCGATGATTGGCATCCGTTTTACAGAGCACAGTTCAGAGTCTGATCGATATATTTATATATAGATATGTGTACACTTATACTATATTGGCTTTAATTAAATAATTTGCACATTCAACTTTATTTGAGTGCTTTCATATTCTGCACTCTTGAATAATAAATAATTAATGATGAGCTCCGTACCCAAACACAGCCATTCTTTTGCTGCACGCATACAAAATTTAACATATTTACAAGTGTTTAAAAATGTTAACCACATTCGCAAATGTCATGAATCACACATAACGAAATGAAAACAAAAAAAAAAAAAAAAGAACAATTAAAACAATACGCATTAAAAATTAAATGCTTTTAGGCTTAAAGTGTAAAGTGTCATATGTGAAAGAGAAATCAACAACAATATGCTAGGGATTATGATTATTAAGAGACAGATTTTTAATTAACGCTGAATTGAAATATTTAAAAGAATTAACATAGTTGAATGTCATTTAATAATAGAGTGAATAAATACTTTGCATATATCTGCCCTCGACTAAGATGCCGCTTTAAATGCCTTCCACCTCTATAATTTACAAAAGTAATGCTTGAATATATCATTCAATATGTGACAGACACAAATGCTCAGAGTCAAAGCCAAGCGATATTATCGCACCAATTTGCACAACTCGGCCGGAAACTGAACGTGTTGTGTGACAGCTTTTTGTCAGGGCCAACATTTAATTTATTTGATAACAACAGAAACTGTTCACCTTGGCCAGGCTCAGAAATAAGGCATGGCAAGGACTTTGTATAGCTTTGCAGGCAATTAATTTCAACTATTGCAGCCATTACTCAAGTCCGAGCTAACATATTTTATTAAAATGAAGTCCTGCAATCATCTCAAGCATATGTGACGGCTGCAAAACTTCTCCAGAAACTTTGCCAGGGGAAAAACTTGAAATGCAAATGACGAAAGCCACAACAGCAAAACTTGTACAACAAATGTGAGTTGGTTTGTCGAAGGTTTGTGTTTTTCCAAAACATATTTAAACACGATATCACAAATGAAAGTAACTAGAGGTGAATATATATATTGCTGAAATAAAAGCGAAAAGGATTGTGGGAACATGTTCCCAACTTTTATTTTTCTGCTTATTAAATTTTAATAAGTCATTAGTTTTTGTCAAATAAACATTAGTTTTTGTTAAAGAATGAAACAGTGAAATTCAAGAAATAATAGCGAAAACGTTTGTGGGAACGCGTTGGGATTTGTGAGCTTCTCAAGGCGAGTATCAAATGTAGCATTTTTATCTGGATAAGGGAATAATTCAAAATGAGTTCGTTAATTCTCGAAAATAGAGTAAATGTATCAATAGGAACGTAATGAAAAGCTCATACGCTTTTATTGTAAAATTTCATTCTGCCCAAGATATTACAGAGCCGAAACTAAAGCGAAAGCGTATGTGAGAACATCTGGCTGGATAGCAGAGTTTTCATCAGGTTAATTCAATTTCGAGTCATAAGCAAATTTTGCACAAATTAAATGCGTAAAGTTTAGCAATTGCCGCTTTCGTAGCGCCATAAATTCTCACAAATGTCCTTGTGTAAGCGACTTGGATTGTCATTGTAATGCTTATGTCCTGTCGTCCTCTCTCGCTCTCTCGCTCTCCCGCTCTCACGCTCTCGTCTGGCTGCACTCAGTCATCAGGCAAGCGTAACATAAAGCCGATTTTTTCGGCTGGAAAATGCCGAGTGAGATAATAAATCTAGAGCTGGCGAAACAAATCACAGCAATTCCATTATGTACATTTAATGATGTTGAGCGGCGTCAAAGCCGAAACCAAGTACACAAATCCAAAATCCAAATCCATATCCCAAGGCAGCGAACCAGTGACAATTACTTGCAACACGGCGCCCAACTTCTTACAAATAATCACAAGAAATGGCCAAGCTGCACAAACACACACATAGATAGTCTATATGTGCAGCCAAAGGAGCTGAAGTTGTGCCACAGTGGCCGGAGTTGTCGCTGTTGCAGTTCTTATACACTGTTCACAACTTTAAAAGGGGTCTATTCGTTGCGTGCCCTTGCTGTGTATCTAAAGTTCATATATGTTTATAGCGTACAGTTGGTTTACTGACAACCTTCCCTCGAAGTCGATCCATTAATATTCTGGCCATATAAGGGACATATACTAAGGCCACAGTTTGACAGGAACTGCTTGTTGGTTACAGTCTAAGAGTCTCCAGTCGCTAGTCATCTGCTTAAAGCTTTTGAGCAGCGTATTGCGCAGTCAGCTAGACCCGTCTGCAACGTTCTTACTTTCTTTATTTTTTGTTCTTAATTAGCAAAATTTTCTTTGTGCTGCTGTCTGTGTGGGCAAAGTCTTCCATTAATTAGAGCGACAGCTTCGCAAATTGTTCTCTCAGCTCGTATTTTTTGTTTTATTTTTTATTTTTTTATTCAAGCATTTCGCTTTTTGCAATCCCAGCTCACATGCGGCCATATTGCCAGACTCGTATGGGCAATAAACTTTCGCCACCTGCTTGATATCATCAGTCTCAGCACATCGTCTGTGGTTTATATTTTCTACTTTTTTTTACATATATATATATATATATATGTATATATATATTTTACCATAAATCTGTCATGAAAGATAATTCACACAGGGTGCGCCGAGGGAATGTTGCACGAAGCTTGCCTGCGGCGAAAATGCTCAAAGAAATTGCTTATTAGCTTTGCCACTGTGAATATGTGTGTGTGTGTGTGTGTGTATCTATGTGCTGCACTTTATAAAGATATTTGCATTTGTGTTTGCATTCGTGTTGCTGCAGCACTTAAAATTTAGTTGCCTTATAAAATACACATACCTTTTGTTGTTGTTTATTTTCGGATATATTTTTATATGCCGCCAGCGTTATAATTTATTAGTGTTGTCTATGCAATTTATGTTATAAATATTTTAGGTGTTTCAGTGTTGACCCCGGGTTTGAT